AGGACCTCGAATAGACAAAACAATCTTGAGAAAGAAAAGCTGGAGGTCTCACAATTTATGATGTAAAAATACATTGCAAAGCTACAGTATTCTACAGCATGGTACTAGAATAAAGACAGCCGTATAAGACCAATAGAACAGAATAGATGCCCAGAAGTAAACCCTCACCTATATGAGCAAGTGATCTTCAACAGAGGCACCAAGAGGTGGAAGTGACTCAAGTGTTTGTCCATCAACAGATAGATGGGTACAAAAAAAAGTGTATACATACAATGAAATATTATTCAGCCTTAAAAAAGAAGGAAATCCTGTTAAAATGCTACAATATGAATGAACCCAAGGACATTATGCTAAATAAAATAAACCAGTCACAAAAAGACAGATACAGCCTGAGTCCACTTATATGAGGTATCTAAAGTAGTCAAACTCTTAGGAACAGAAAGTAGAATGCTGGTTGCCAGGGCTGGGGCCAGGGAAAAGGAAGTTGTCATTCAATGGACATAGAGTTTCAGTTTTACAAGATGAGAAAGTTCTAGAGATTGTTGCACAACAAGGTACATATAGTTGACACTATTGTACCATACACTTAAAAACGGCTATGATGGTAAATTTTATGCATTTTTTGACCATAATAAAAAGCAAAGCCAAGGAGATTTCAAATACAAAATGTCTCATGATAAGACTCTCAGGAGAGCTCCTCTGTGGTTAAAATTGTAGTGGATACTGCAGTTTGAAACTCCTTAACTATAGTTTTCATTGACATGATGTTATGTACAAGTGAAGGCATCAATTTAAAAAAAAAAGAAAGAATTCTTGAAGGGGATGGTTTTCAAGCTGGATGTTAAAATAAGTAGGACAGCAATGGGCAGCAGAGCGGGGGGAGGGAAAGGTTTCCAGCAAACTGGGTCGAGGAGAAAAAGCGAAGTGTATCTGCAAGGCAAGTGAACTGGTGTGGCTTGTGGCAAGGTCAGTGGAGGTGGAGGTGGCCTGTAAGGGGAACAGGTGGAGAAAAGGGCTAAAGGGGCCAATTTGTGGAGGGTTTTAAACTTCAGGCGAAATGAGAGTTCACGTGGCTGGGCAGGGGCAGGCAGAGATCAGGTCTTGCAGGGGAGAGATGGGGAGGGCCGAGTCCCTGGGAGGCGCATGTGTCGGAGCCCAGGGAGGATGGAACAAAGCGAGAATGATGAAGGCAGAATGAGTCCGTGAGAGCCCAGCCAGCAATGCTGAGCCCAAGCCCAGGGGCCTCCTCTTGGGCGATCAGATTCACCTGCAGCCAGGCCCATCACGCGCGACCTTCCCTTGAACCCCGGCAGGAAATCGCCGAGAAATCCCTCATCCCCATAAATTAAAGACAACCACAGTAGCCATGACAGATTGGGGGCAAACAACAGCGGCCTCGCAGCTGTCCCTGCCAGCAGGGGTCTCAACACCCCCTGGCCCCGGGCTGGGAGTGGCTGGGGGGAGAGAACCTCACAGTGGTCTTCTAAACCAGTCTTGTGCGGTGAACCAACCGAAGGTCTCCGAGTGGGGGAGCCAGGGACCCCGCTTTCATGATCATTTACTTGAGCAAATCCGCCCACTTCCAGTGGGAGCAGTTGCGGCTGGCAGAGGAAGGAGAGGGGAGAGCAGAGAATGTTCCTTTTGAAACAGACTTACAGTAACTTTCTGTTCCCGGAGGTTTCTCCGCCAGCCAGTAGGGGAGGCATTGACCAGGCACACTCCCCCCACCACTCCCCGCACCCCGCTGGGCCCCCCACCCTCTCCAGCAGATCTCTGAGCTCCAAGCTCCTAAGTGATGACAACTGGTTTCTTAGGACCAACAATGATTGTAAGAGGTTCCCATGTCGCATATCCCAGACTCAGGAATTTCTGAGACGGTGTATTTGAAACATTCAATTCCATTGACCCCGAGAATAATAGGGAGATTTGACAGTAGGCTGGTTCTGGAAATATGGGCCTCATACCATTCATAGCTGCCATGTATTGAACTCATGGGCCAGGCACAGTGTTCATCTCGTAGATCATCGTATTTTACCTGCACCGCCTCTCTCAACGGAAGGTGCTATTGTTATAGTTTCATTTTAGAGCTGGGGAAACTGAGGCTCCAAGAAGTTAAGAGTTTCCCCAAGTCATGCTGTCAAAAGTGGTGGTGCTCACACTGACTCTGTCTGCCGAACTGTAAAGCATTACAGAAAACACATTTCTGATCACCGCTGGTTAACCTTTCAGAGATGGCTTAGCAGGGGCGCAGGGGAGGTGTTTAAGGCGCTCACTTTGAGTACAAAATGCAAGGGGCGCCTAAAACCTCAGTAAATCGAGAGAAATAATATTTTAATGCAATGTTTTTAAAAATAAAAATTAATGCAAAAAAATCTATGCTGAATAAAATATCAAACTTTTAAATAAGAATCCAACCAGTGACTCAGGATTGGTGGGATGGCGAGGGGGCACTTTGTGGGCTCGTCTCTTGTGAGCAGATTCTGAGAGTGGGTGGTGAGCCTTGCCCACCACTCTCCCCTTGCTTTATGCTCTTACAAAGCTGATCTTTCCTGCCTCCTTCCCCTCCGGCTAAATTCCAAAGGAAGACTTAAAGCAACTAACTGGGTGATAAAGATTTCCACGCTGAGCAGGAGAGTGGGTCTGGAACCCCAGAGAATGAATGGAAGTCCGCTTGCTGTGCTCTGCAGACCTCATGTGACTGCTGCCGTTGCTGCTGCTCCTGAGGGGACCCCGAGGGAGAGCCCAGGGCCCCTCCTGGATGGGAACCTCCCCTGCCCCGAGGCTGACCCTATGAAGAGTGCAGGAAGTTCAGTGGAGGGTGTCCATGCCCTCGTGGGGTGGTCAGCTGCTTGGCACACGAGCTTACTCCCTAATGCACTGCCATGGGCCACTGGCCAAAAGGGAAGACGCGTATTTGGGTCTTGCTGAAACACGGAATGGTTTTTCCTAAGCCCAGCCCGTGGCCTTGCCCGTGCCTTCCCAAGCCTTGGCTCCCAGTTCCCTGGAGAGTGGCTGGATGCAGCGGAGGGAGGTGTGGGCAGAGCGGGTGGCGGGCGCCACGGAGGGGAGAGCTCTTCAATCAGGCTCGGAGCCAAGTCACTGAGAGCTCCTTGGAGAGGAGAAGCGCAAAGTGTCCCATTCTCGGCAAATCTCCAGCGGGGCTAGGAACAGCTCAGGGCTTAAGCGTTTGGACATTTAAAGGGCCCTGCTGTTGAGCAGGCAGGAAGGCCGTGCTCATTATCCTCCACTGTGGACGCGTTGAGGGGCTTCTTCAAGCATGTTTGAAAGTCCTCATATTTCAAAATGAGGCTTGTGCTTGACATCGACTGAAGGGTGTGAGATTTGGGGTCTGAAATTCGGGGTTTGAGCTGAATTCTAGGGTGACCAATTGCTCCAGTTTGAGAGGTTTCTTAGGTACAGACTTTCAACGCTAAAGTCAGAAAAGTCCTGGGCAAATTGAAATGAGTGGCTCACTCTGTTGAGATTCCATTCTAGCAGAGCCCCCCCGCGCCCCCCCCCCCCTTAAACTTTACGCATCTCCTTTTCCACACATTTAGAATCTACTGATAAGACCTGCTGGGCTTACCTCGAAAACTGGTGGGACTCAAAAGAGCTAATGTGTGTTGCCTGCTGCACCTTGAACTTCCCGGTTGCAGCACATCGCTGTCAGACAGGCATCTGTAGGCCTCTCCTCCCTCTCAGTTTGAGCTTTGTGTGTGTGTGTTGGGCGGGGGGGGTGACGCGGGGGGGGACACGCAGGTTGAGACCATCTTATTCATCTCTGCATCCCCAGGGCCGTGGTTGGGGCTTGGCAAAAAGAAATGCTCAGGAAATCCGTGCTATATCGAAAATGCTTTGTAAAGCAAAGCACAGAATGTTGTCATTGATTGGTTGACACTCTCATTTCCTACCTGACCCTGGTTAGCCCATGAGAAGGTCCACTATAGGCTCAGATAGATAGACGTTGCTTAAGGGTGGCTGTCAAGAGGACATAGTGGGCAGCGGGGGCAGGAGGCATGGGTACTGCCTTGTTCTGGGCAAGGTGGGGTGAGGGACCCAGACAAAAGGTGAGCAGGCAGTGAGGGAAGCTAGGAGGGCCCATGGGGAGATGAGGAAACAGGTCCCTACCACGGGGAGGAGATGGGATTAAGCTGGGATCTTAATAAGAGGACCAGCTCCATGCTCTGGCCTCTGGCTTCCAGCGCCGACTGGCCTTCCCCTGCATTCTGAAGTCCAGTGCTTGCCCTTGGCTGCCTGCCTCCCTGCCTCTCCCACGGCCGGCGATCCCTCTGGAGGGCCTTCCCTGAGGGTCACCCAGACCTTAGGATGCTGAATTGCCCCCTTGGTCTGGGCATGGCCCACCTAGGCAGGGTGATCCCTTGCCGGCTGCCTGCTCCAGCTCTCAGCACTCCATCTCCCCTCACCCCTTGCCTCTCCCATCCCAGCCCTAGTCCTGCTTCTCTGTCTCTAGGCCCCTGGAGACACAGGGTCCTGGCTCTGCTTGACAGCCAGGGTTCTGGCCCCCCCCCCCCCCCCCCCGCCCTGCCCCCGCTCCGCAGCCCCAGCTTCCGTCTCAGCTGATTCCCATGGTGAGCACACCCTGTGGCTCTGGGACCATTTGGAGCTGTTGGGGGCCTGGCAGGGAGAAGAAGCATGACCCAGAGGCAGCCTGGGGTCAGGAAAGCCCCTCTCTAGCCCTTGCCGGCCTACACGGAGGCTCCCTCCCACATGTCCTCCAGATCTTTGTGGATCCTGTTTCATTCTCTGGCTGGCACATCCCTCTTGGGGCCCACGAGTACTGGGGTCACAGACATCCCCATCACCAGAGAACCCTAGAGCTCTGAGTAGAAGAAACCCCAAAGGTAACTCCTTCCTGCCTTTGAGTAGGTTAGATAGACTTGTTTGCAATTCACGGTCAGGGCAGTTAGGCTCAGAAAAGGCAAGAAACCTCCCCAAGGTCACACAGTAAAAGCAGGGCCAGCTGTTCTCCAGCCACCTACCTGAACTCTCCTTTTTCCGTCTGGTTGACTTCTTCTCCGTCTCATTAGCAGTGCTCCCAAGGACCTCATAGTCCTCTCCTGGGCCTCCCGCGGCGTCCACCAGACCTGGGCTGCTGGCCCCCATCTCCCTGGAGCCCCCCGTTGGGCCCGGGTTGAGCCTACGCCGGGCCTCTGAGACAGGGAAGTGCCAGTCGGGGGGCTGTGGGAAGGCGGGGTGCTGCTCAGTGAAGACCCGCTCCTCCTGGGGCAGGCTGTGTGGGGTGGCCGCCAGGCAGGAGGCCGAGAAGTCGGGGTACGCTGCTGTCGCTGTTGCCGGGAAGTCTGGTTTCTGGTGGAAGGAGAACGGGGTTGGCGGGTAGTGGGGTAGCCCTGAGGCCCCACTGCCTTCGGAGTGGGGATTTCGAAGGCAGCCCCAGACGGGGGCCGGGGGGTGGGGGCTCCGCATACAGCTGCTGGCCACGGGATCCATCTGCTGTCTGCAGCGCGCCTCAGTCTTTCAAAGGTTCGATTCTTACCCTTTTTATATTCAAATTTTTTTTTAATGCAAAAAAAAAAATTAAAAATTAAATAGCAGGGCAAAATGTTCAACAGAAAGTTCACCCCAGGAACCAAAACAAAACCCAAAACTAAAGTCTCTCTTTCAAGTCCACACACGTGCGTATGTGTGTGCACACACTTATGTCCGACTTCACTCCTGGCTTCCTGCCCCCGGACGCACCAGCCTGCCTAGAGGGATCCCCTGTGCGTGTATTTGTCGCCGATGACACTAAACATTTTCACTGTCCCAGCCCAGACGCGCCCGCTGATGGAGTGCTCGCCCCGGAGCCCTCGGCAAATGCCTGCAGAGGGCTGGACCGGGGCTGCGGAGACACACTTTTAAATGCTGCGGTGGGGAGAGAGTGACAAATTTCTGAAGTGAAATGTGAGAGAGGAGAGGGAGGGGTTAACCCGCACCCACACAATCCCCTCCAACCAAAACCCGAGCAGGCAACTATTAATCATCAGAAACCTTATATGCACATCTAATGGGATTTGCAGATGGAGACTTTTAAAGAAACATTGTCTGTATTTTTTTTTTTTTTTAAGGAGAGAGAGCAGCTCACCCACACCACTTCTTTAATGTGCCTCCTGTAACACTATGAAGTTATTTTATTACACTGTTAACAAAATTCCCCAAGTCTTGGATTTGGAAAAAGCCTTAAGTCAGATCCAGAATCCGTCAAGTGCCAAATTCCAGGGAGTGAAGCAGGGAATAAGCGCAAGAGACAAGTTCGCTGATTGTATTTGATTTAAAGGCCCTTCCACCGCTGCTTGCAAAAAGGAAGGTGGATTAAGAGGAATCTTTTTTTTGCAAGTCTCAGCGGCCCACTAGGGTCTGTGGTATAAAGAAAGACATACTCCCGGAAAAAATGATTTCTCTCTGTCCAAAGTGACATTCTCACTTTCTCAGTAACTTAAAAAAAAAAAATCAGATTCTTCCTTCCTCTCTTTAACCCTCAACTTAATGCCAATTAGCCACACTCTTCTCTAGAGGGGGTTCAAGTCATTTTTCTCCTCGGCAAAAAAAAAAAGAAAAGAAAAAAAAAAAGAGGCTCTTAGATAAAGTCCTTGAAGTTTCTCCAGGCCTCCCGCACCTGCTCCTGGCTCCCTGACCTTCACCCACCTGCGTCCCCCTCCCCAGCCCCAGAGCCGAGTCTGCTGTGAACTCTGGGGCATGGACATAGGAATTGGGGGTAATCTCGTTCCCAGAGGAGTTCTCTTTGGCCAACCGTCACATGGTCTTCCCGGCTGGTGCCGACCCCAGGAGGGCCAGTTACCATTTCAGCCGGTCAGTCAGTCGGTCAGCCAGTCCACTTCATCACCGAGGCCTGCTGGTCTCTGTGGAGGGTTAATGTAATTCCAGGACCACAGGACAGAGCTCCTCTTCCGCGGCCCAGAGTCGTTGGATCGGGCTGACCCGGGCCACAATAGCGGCGTCTCTGCTGGCTGGTTCCGAAGGAGGAGGGGTCTTAGCGCTGCGGCCTGGAGGCTGCACACACGCTCTTCATGAAATAGGCACTGCGACTTCTGGAATGGGCGGCCAGGGGGTTGGGGGCCAGCAGAGGAGACGGGGTGGGAGCCACAACCAGGCTCATTTCTCCGCTTTGTCCAGGACTTAGCGGCTGCATTCACATTTCTCCTCTGGACCTCACCACTCTCCCATTAGGGTAAAGTAAGAACTGTGTCCTGCATTTCACAAATGAGGACGATGAGGCTCAGACAGATAATGGGGCTGCCCAGAATCACACAGCTGGGAGGTGGCAGAACCGAGAGCCGCCCTCGGGTGTGTGGACTTTGGGCTTAAACAGGGATGAGTTCAAATCCTGGGTCGGACACTCTCTGGCTGTGTGCCCTGGGACAAGTCGCCTTACCTCTCTGAGCTTCCGTTTCCTCATCTGGGATGACAGTCGATTCATCCACTGATTGCTGACATTCACCCGCTGATCTTAGAACCTCACACAAATTCCCCCCACTAGGTCCCCACCAAAGCCCTCTGAGGCAAGTGCTTTCCTCCTCAGCTCCATTTTTCAGAAAAGGACTCTAAAGCACAGAGAGACTGTGTAACCTGCACAAGGTCACACAGCTGGGAAGCGAAGGACCTAGAATCCAAACCCAGGCAGCCTGGCCCCACTGCATCAGAATGCCTATCCCACGGACATTTGAAAATTTTAAATCCATCACTTCTGCGAATGGTGAAGTAGGTAAGAGGTAAACTCAGCTCCCTTCCCAGCCTATCTCATTTGCCTTAACTTGATGATCTGAACGGGGACTGTGGGACTGGGGAGCACGGGGGAAATTCTACAGAAACAGCCTTGTAAGGTCCCTCGAGGGCCCTGGGCTGTGATAAACTAGATCAGCGGTTCTCAACCTGTGGGTCGCGACCCCTTTGGGGGTCGCATGACCCTTTCACAGGGGTCGCCTACGACCATCGGAAAACACATATATAATTACATATTGTTTTTGTGATTAATCACTATGCTTTAATTATGTTCAATTTGTAACAATGAAAATACATCCTGCATATCAGATATTTACATGACGATTCATAACAGTAGCAACATTACAGTTATGAAGTAGCAACGAAAATAATTTTATGGTTGGGGGTCACCACAACATGAGGCACTGTATTAAAGGGCCGCGGCATTAGGAAGGTTGAGAACCACGGCTCTAGAAGGAATCCACAGGAGGCTGGGAGGAAGAGCGGGCTGTCAGCTTCCCTAGGAAAACCTCCCTGGGGCCGGCCCCGCAGGCTGTAACTGGATTCCTGCTCTGGCCTCCTCATCTGGCCCAGGGAGGCCCCGCAGCCTGGCCCTTTGCCCCTGGATGGGGTGGGCCCTGGGTCACGGTGGGGTGGGCGGAGAGGTCAGCAGGGAGGGGGCCCGGCAGGGGTGCTCTGTGCAGGACCCTGGCACCCCTGCGACCTGAGCAGCTGCTGGCGTCTGTCAGACACCCCACAGGGCACAGCTGGGGGCCCACTGGCCTCTACATCTTCCTGACAGGCCCCTCTTCTGAGGCCAGGAAAAAACAACAACAGTTCCTCCCTCTTGGCAACCCATTTGTTAGATGAAGGCCCGGCACCAGCACCTTTAACCTCCTCAAAGTCAGCATTTCCCCGTCAAGGCCCCGCAGGTCCCAGAGACAGAGATGAATAGACGTGGCTGTTTGTGAACAAAAGCCCCAGGCCCGGCGGCCAAGGGGAGCAGGGCTTCAGGAAGGGAGGGGCCCCTGTTTCTGGTTGTTGTTGGGGGGGGCGGGGCAGGGGGAGGAAGAGGAAAAAGCGCGTGCTAGGAGGAGGGTCCCCGAGGAGCCCTGGAGTGGGCAGTTGACTTGGCCACACCTGAGCTATCCCAAAGAACTTGTGGAATTTCCCTCATTGTGCGCGACAAGCAGGCGTGTCCTTGGCACCACAGACCCACTTCCACGCTCGGCCACCCCACCCGCCGGTGCCTGGAGTTGCAGGGTGGCTGAGGGAGAGCCTGGGGCCACAGGCAGAAGACTCGGGTTGAAGGTGTGGCCTTGCCTTTCCTCAGCTGTGTGGTCTCAGGCAAACCACACCCGTTTTCTGAGCCTGTTTTCTCACTGGCAAAATGGAGATGAGAGTACCAGCCTCGGGTGGCCGTTCTGTGGCCAAATGACCCGCTGCTGTGAAAAGAGCTGCTGGCTGTAAAGGATGGCGCACGTGGGGGATCATTATGCCTTTTCCTTCCTTCCGCTGCTGGACCCCAGGGCATGTCACGTCTGCTCATCCTCGCCTCCAAATACCTTCTCCTACGGCAACGTAACAGAAGGTCAATAGCGTGGCCTTGGCACCAGGAGAGCAGAGGTTCTAATCCCAGTTGTCATTAATAAGCTTAATGGCTTTCAGCAAGTCACTTTATCACTCGAGACTCAGTTTTCTCATCTATAAAATGGGGATATGCTTTTTCTTCTTTCCCCATGCAGTTGCTGAAAGAGGGGAGTGAGGTGAGCCTTACTTAGGAAAGCTTTTGCCATAACCTGGTATGAGGTTTTTAGTGGTACTAGCTAGCTGCTGCTGCTGCTGCTGATACCGGAGAGTTTCATCTTAAGGACAACTCCAGAAGGCCCTGTGAAAATGTATATACCACCGAAGAGGGGCAAGATGAAGCCATTAGAGTTCACTCACATGGTTGAACATGTGAACCGGACAAGACACCTGTTACTGAGCAAGACCTTGGGGGACCGGCCAGGAGACTGACAAGCTTTGAATATGGTAGAAATCACACTGGACGGGGATGTTTACCACCAGGCCTGGCATTTATCTGGAATGTTGTACGCCCTTTGCTTCTCAGAAGGCTTTGAGGAAGCGGGGTCACTACTGCCCTAAGGGACTTCATGAGGCTCAAATAACAGGATGACAGGACAGAGTTGAGCAAACCACAGACTACAGTCCTCACGTCTGTCCCAGATGCCCCAAAGGGGGGCCGGACATTCCATTCTAGGGAACCAAGGATGGGGTCTTTCGCTAAGCCCCAGAAAACAGAGTTAATAGCAACATCTTCTTCAATGAATGCTTTCGTTCATGTCTACATATATTAAACTTTAGTGCTGGCCATCTGATTGTGGGCAGAGGACTTAAAAACACAATACCCAGAGGGTCCTGCGTTGGAACCTTGGCCTTGGAAGTCATGTGACCTTGGTTGCCTACACTGAGAAGTAGAAGCTTGCTGTACAGACGACTACAGACACTCGGGAGGTGCCCCGGGAGCAGGCCCTCACCAGGGCTCCCGCGCCTGCGCAGTGAGAGGCACGTGGAGCTCAAGGGAAGGTTCTAAGTTAGGGCAGCGGACAAAATCCAGGGCGCCCAGGGTATGTTCCATGCAATATTGGGGACATCCTTACACTAACAAGCTACTTGTTGTTGATCTGACATTCAAATTTAACCGGGTGTCTTTTCCACCCCCCCATCCCACCCTCCAAATCTGGAAACCCTGATCTAAGGCAAAAGTCATCTTCAAGGGGAAGAAGGCTCAGCCTCACCTTCCAGCCAGATTTGCACTTTGAGGAAGAACCTGGCAGGAAACGCCAAAGGAGGCATCCCAGGGGCAGGTGTGGTCGTTGGGTAGGTTTGCCTCTGGCTGTGGGCTTGCTGGTTGCAGGAGGAGCCCAGGGTCCCCCAGAAAGGTCTCCCGTGGAAGCCTCTTGCATGAGACAAAGCAGAAGGGAGGAGGAAGAAAGGAGGAAGGGCGTCCAGGTGGAAAAAGTGAGAACAAAGGTGAGTGCCCCTGGGCAGGAAGCGCTGAAAGAGAGAAGGAGGGAGGCCACCAGGGCGGGGGCAGCACGCCAGCCTGGGAGA